TCGTGTGGGTCGAGTGTCGTGAACAATTCTCGTTACAGTACAACGAGCAGTCTTTAAAGGCTTCTCGTGCGAGCATCGATAAACTGCACATATGTACATGCGAACCATGTTTTCATAAAGCTCGCTTAGGCGTATTTGCTTTTGCAAGCATGCCTTATAGTTCAAACGTATTGGTCCATCATCTTCGTTTTTTGCTTTGAAACATGAGATCGAAATTTGATTAAATCGTCGTCGAAACTTCCAAAGTACGACATTCTAGGAATTTTAACGCCGAGGCTAACGATGCATTTCTGGATTACCATATCAGACTGATTTATGAAAGTTTATGAATATTCATCGAAGAACATTTTTACTTATCTTATGCGTATTAATACAATTTTTCGAAAGTTCGTTAACATCGTAATGAAATATGATTATCCTAGTTATGTTGCTAAAGTATGAAACAAATATAAAAATGTATATAAATGTTATTCTATTACATGTATTTCGTGTAAGTCACAAAAGTAATTTATGCATCATCCATTGATACCAGAACGGTCTCACGAATATATATAATATAATACTTATTTAATAAAATGTCTGATTAGCTGATCAAATACTTCTGTGACGTTTACCAAATGTACGCCTGCAATAAATGTTTTACAACTTCTCCGTACCTACACATTTCTTCTAAACTCCATAATTCTAAACCATAATAATGATGAGCTAGTCAAGTCTCAAAATCTTTAGTATAACGTACCAAAGAAACAAAAGCGAAATGTACTAATCAAGCTTCAAGATCTTTTGCATAATACATAACCTCTATATTTATAAAATCTCCTTATAGTAACAGATAAATATGTATTTTCCCCGGCCTATTGTATGATAAAGACATGAAAAATAAATAGAAAAATTGGAGGTTATTCGTGCCAAGTTAGTTATTGCGCGTATATCTGTAAATGGTTAATTGTCATCGTGGTCGCGAATTTTACGACGCACTACCAGCGGCGTAGCACAGGTTTCTAAGAGGCTTCCAGTGAAATCGCTTGTTTCAGATAAAAAATAATACACGCCGCTTATCCGCCGATTACGAAAGACCTGTGCGTGCACGTCCACGTAAAAGACTTCGTGAATTTACAAATTACTCTTTTCACTCAATGCACGTTTTGTTCACGGTTTATTTCACTCATGAAAGTCGTCATCGTCGTCGTCTCGCGGCCCGTTTCGTTCTCTCCCTCCCATCGTTTTTCTTTGTCGAATGCATCACAGCACTTGCGACTGTCGCGACACACCGGCTTACCTTAGCGTTAATGTTTCACGTTCGAGAGCCCTTCGCGTGAATTAAACTACATTACTCATTGCTTTGTTAAAGGATAATTTGCTGGACAAAGCAAAGTTAGTTTCATAAAAAGAATAATTCAATTTTGTAAGAAAAATTGTATTTCGTACTTAACGTACTAATGTATCGAACACAATCTATGCTACATGGATCATTAATAGTTAATACACGTGGCTTGAATTGAAAAGCATACGAAATGTGTTGATATTTTGACAAATTTAACTTTAATATTTTTAACAAGCTTTTTCTTGAGAATTATGTAGTATTAGTATACATGGAATAATAGGTTTAGGTGGAACACCCGTCAAGAGTTCTTGTTACTACTTAGATGTTAGCAGAAACAAATCCTATTAAATTAGGTTGTGAATTCGGTGTGTTTCACCTTAAGCTTATGATTTATACTGATAATTTGAGATGACATTTTTTTAGGTTAATTAAGGTAATTATTTGTAGTATTCCTTTTTGTGTCAATATTTGGATAATATTCTCTACAACTTTATGAAGGCGTGAGCTCAACGGGAAATAAAAATATTTTTATGATATTGTTTTCGATTCTTTGTATCGTTGGATTTATTTTTTATTATCTAAATTCCTCTTTTATCTTCCGTATGTAAATTGTGGATTCGAAGTAACTTTTTGTTAACCGTAATAAATTAAATGTATGAAACTGTTTGATAGAATTTTATTTTCAGTTATAAATGAAAAATAGTTAATAAATATTGAAAAAATAAAACGGAACACGTATATTCAATTTTTTAAATTACATTTGTTTTCAATAAATTATCACAAAATATTTTTCACTAGCTAGCACCTGCAATCGAAATACCCTGCGACGAATATCGTTCGACACGTATCGAATTCAAAAACGAGGCGGATGTAGTGCATAAAATATGAGGTTAGTCGACATTTCACCGTTTCGTGCATAATTAAGGCGAGAAACAGAGAAGGGAATACGTTCTAACAATAAAATCTTACCGCAATTGCTTGGAACCATTTAATCTCATCGCGCGATGCTACAGCCGGGTTTAAAACGGATTAATTAGCAACGTTTAATAACTATATTCTTCCTGGCGTCCATAAAAAGAAAAATCCTTTTAGAACCAATTATACAGCAAGCTTGAATTGAGTCAGGACGTCCCATTTCCAAATAGACGACAATGAAATATTCATTTCGGTATAAATGGCAGATATTAACCTTATCTATTGCCTGATATAAAATTATCGAAAATCGCGGTAGTTGTAGAAATTAGTATCTATTAATGGATCTTATCTTATCAAATATTAAAAATTAATCAGTGCATCTTTCCCAAAAATATTCTTCGTTTTTTATGTTACCAAAATCAGGGTCTTTTTTTGTAACTGGATCGTCCAAAAGGAATATATATATTCAGTTACGAAAGCAATATATATATATATATAGTGACTCAAGAAAGTATTTGAACATTTATGGAAACTTTTTACAAATATATTATGCAAAACATTAAAAAATTGTATTAGTACTATAATGAGACATGACTACCGTGATTATATTGGTGAAATTTGAAATGAATCTGAAAATGTATACAGAAATTACAAGATATTTGTTGCAAACATATAGATACTTAACAAAAGTAGACAAATTATTTGTACATCCAATTTATTCACTATATTAGTAAGCTATAGTATTCAATTTGACTATCTTCATTTCCTATTATGTGTTTCAGATGGCTGTTCACACTGTATATTAATTTTCAACAAAATACATGTTTGAAATAAATATTTTGTAATTTTGAGCTATGCCTCATTATAGTACTAATGAAGTTTTAAAAAGTTTCCCATAACGCACATGATACACCTATCCGCAAGTTTCCCTTGCAAAGTTTTCGAATATGTACTTCCGTGAGCTACTATAAATGCCGATACTATGTTCTAAAAAGATAATGCTGTTATTCTAACCTCTGAGATAAACGAGATTTACCGAGCCGCTGCGCACGATGCGCCCCCAATTTTCCAAATTCCTGAACTGCACGCTATGCCGGCAGGAAATTTCATCATAAAGTGATTAGCCGAACGCAAATCGTTCGTGTATTTATCGTTAGCATTACAAAGCGCTGCTTCAAAGTAAAATATGCTAATCATTGGCATTATCAGGTGTATGAGATTCCGTGAATGCCATCTCGGAACGACAAAACGTGATTTTAACACGTTAGCCCCGCGATCACGTTTTCCAAGACTATTACCGCAATGGCAATCGTTTGTTCTAACTGCACATAGGGGTCCGGCCGATCGGTACACGTGTCCTTGCAGGTCGAATAACGTATCGTCTTGAACTGGCCAATTCACTCATCAACCGACGAGAGAGAACTTTACACGGCCAGACCTTTCACTCGTTTTATTAATCACCACCGAGGTATGCTGCATTTACCTATTTAACGTTCTTCGATGGAAAGAACCGGCTTTGTCTTCATGAATTATTTATCCATCCGTTAATGAAGGTTATTCGCGGCGAACCGCCGCGGTATAGATCGTACGTTATTCCACGTAAGGACAGGAAAAAGAAATTATTATTGTTCGACATTTTCACGCGTGTTTCGAAGCTCTTATATCTCTGGTGGGCGGGCAAAAGAGCGTAAGTGTCAGAAGTATTAGTTTTACAGTTTAAAGTCAAAAGTAAGGTTAGGTGTTAGATTTACAGGATATATAATTAGAATATCAGGTAAAAGAGCGAGAAAGAAATGAAACTGACCTGTACCAAAAGACCAAAAGACAACAATACGGACAATATTAGCGTATTTATTCGGTTGATCAAAATCTGACTTACATAACGTATGTACCCTTTCGTCCATCCATCAAATATATTGTCTACGAATTTTTATATCTCAATTTTGCTCTCGTCTCAATAGATAAAGATTCTTAAAAAGAAAAATAAGAAATCGTGTGTATTAATGTTTCTTTTTGATCTTAGATAAGATTAGAGAATTTGTTAATGACAAAAAAAGAAAAAAAGAATAATTAGGTTGAAAATGAGTCAAGGGACAAGGGTTAATACATTATGGGGATTCGATGGAAGACCTTGGGAATACAGTAAAAGACGAGCAGGTGTGCCGCATTCCTTTAAACGGAATACCGACATAGCCGGTAGAATAAGATTACTCGCTTCACGACCGGACTGGCAAGAACGAGATGGAATCCGCGCGGTACGGTTCTACGGTGAATCGGAAATGCGTAACGCACGCCGCACTAAAACGATATATGTGTACTTAATAGGTGAAAACGATATAGAGAGGCCGTAAAATCAGTGGGAAATCGAAGGTTTATACGTTTCGACTGTTTCGAAATGTGTAATTTGAGGTGTATTTGAGAAGATACGGGCCACGAGACCCTATCAGGTCTGGCAGAGATGCAAATCTGAAGTACTATTTCTTCTTGTCTCTTTCAAAAGTATACTATGATATCGAATAAAGTACATAGCGTGAAAGTATGCTATAATAAGTTTAAAACGTACAAGCTAATTTTCATTAATACAATCACTATTATTAAGCGACAACGACAGCGTGATACGGAACGATTTTAGTAAAAGATTGTGAGATAAACATCAACCCACAAGATCTAAAATGGTCCAAGAAAATGTGTATATTACTTGCGGTTGTATCAATGGATGTTCCGTAAATGCTTTGATATACAATTTCCGTATATCTATTGTATCCACCAAATAGCCAACACACATCATTACAAAAGTCGCATAATTAGTTGCGTAGTCGCGTCTACGCGAAGAAACTGTCCCGTCTATACCTATATATACCTATCCACGCAGCACCGTTACATTGCAACACCACATGGTCGAGTATCGGTCGCGTGACACGAGCTAAAAAGATATTACCCAGTTTTATCCTCGGTCGAGACCGCGCTCTTTCGATCGCTGTTTGGCTAGCCTCCGTTTCGCCCTCGGTCTCGTTTTCGTCCCGGGCAACACTACGTGATATTACTTGGTGAAATAAACGACCGTCGAACTTCGTGCTCTACGAGGCACCACATAAAAGTCTGTTATTAGAAGCCCATAGTGGAAATAGCCGGCGTGGAAGTCATCTCGGCACGTAACGAGGTATCGATACGTCACTGCGATCCCGGACGCACGTATAGGTATATTCACGCGATCTTTTTTTGTATTGCTATACACGCGAATGAAACGTTTCACGGAGCACCGGACTGTTTGTGGCAACACGAAAAGAAAGCGGGACGAGGAATGCAACACACACGACGTAGTGATGGATCAGACTGGCGAGAGACGCCAGGTGCTAGAAGCAAACGATCGGTCAAACTTCTCTCTCGAGATGACGACGGCGATGAATGCACTTCACACGACGGCGTTCTACATGACACACGCGGTTCTCATGACTGTAAATATCTACTTTTCGTAAGCAACGATTGATTAGCACGAATTTCATTGATACACACCTCTTATGACCTAGTAACAAGAACGCCTCCAGGTGCACATCCCGTACATCGCACATACGTGTACATCCGACACTGCAGAGCCACTGAAAGCAGCGCCGAGGTTAGGCTATCGTAGTGGGGACACCTGTTCGACATCCGTAGCAGCACTTTCTACGCTCTGACGACGGTGCGTGGCCTCCCGATATCGATAGTGGCCACGATCGCCGATATACGCACTATCGAGAGCTCCCGTCGAACGAATCGAGATTTATCGGACGCGAACAATTGAAGTCTTCGACTCCATTCACGCTCGACTCGTTCTCATTGATTCCACTAAGACGATCGGCGCACCTCTTGTGACTGCTACAGGAATTACTGTAGTCGTTTCTGTAATCGTATGTGGGTCAGTAACGAAGTTTGAAACATTCAGGCATGGATACATTTTTATAAATCGATTCTTTCGAACATAAAAAAATAAAAAAGATAAATTGTACATATAATACCAGATGGGGTTGCCAATAAGGGATTCCTACGTCTCAAATTTGGTTAAGATTTTAATATCGCATATTTACGAAATTTTCGTTTCATCGTTTATATAGCAGTTTTTAAACGCTGGATAGGATTAAACGTATTACAAAGATAATTCTGAAATTATTTCTTTCTCCATTTTTCGTTATTTTTAGTATGTATTTCGTTTAGATATATGTACATATCTATGGTCAATGTCTATATATAGAATTAATGGAAAATTTAATTAGTGGTAGTAGAAATACAATTTTGTACGTATAAAAAATTCTGTCACTTGATCTTTCTTTTAGTTTTAATTGTGATATATTCAAGCATGATGTACGCTTTATATTTTATTATATATGTAATTTTTTCGTAACTATCTTATCGTCTGAAGGTAAAGTATGATTTTTCTTTCAATATCTATTTTACCATAAACAGAAGACATTGTATAGAAATTATAGTATCTTTTTTAAACATGTAATTACGTTATTATTTTGGATATAACCGTTTACTAAGCGTGTACATAGATAAAAATAAAAAATAAATCATATGTCGCGTTCTGAAATACCGATCTAGAAAATCGGAATGTTTCTTATGCCCTCTGTGAATTGCTACGACGAATATAGGAATTATATTTAATGTAATCAATGAAAGAAATAAAATGCATGTTAGTAAAATGAGGTACGAGTCGAAAACTCGCAATTCTATATAGAATAAAGAATAAAGAAAGCGATAAATATGGACTTGGCGCTTACAGAGCATCGCATCACGTTCTGTAATACCGACCGTTCAGAGGTATTACTACGCTCTCTATAATTTATGACATAGCGTCGAGTGTAATTAGCCTATTTAAACGCAGACCATTTATTTAAATAAAAATTTAATTAATGCTCGATTAAGTTAGTTTCAAGTGGTTAAATTCATGTATCTGAATGTGAAGTACCATTTTATGAACGAGAAATCGTAAGTAATAAAGAGAAACAATGAGATCTTATTATATGAATTTCATATGAACTATTTATTCCGCGACATTTTATATAGTCGTTTATAAGAAATTAAGCCGTTCGTGAAACTACCATTGATTTCTAATATCGTAGATCGGACTTGTTCGATAGCATGCGAAATGAAGCGGTTTGCGAACCGCAAAATATTCGTTGGAAAGGCGTGACAGGTTTGCACGAGTAAAAATAATTGACTCGTACAATCGGATATACATTTTATTGGTCCAGCTGTTCAACTACATAGAACTATTTATAAAACTTTTACAAAATGCTCAACGCTTCGTAATGGGAGACCTTGCGTATTTCCTTCTCTCTTCCCCTCTTCCTCTTCAATCGTCTCGTATTTTAAAAAGTAAAGAAGTTACGATTTCCCGTAAATGTCGGTTTACAAGAAGCTTTCACAAGGATCAAGTATTACATTTTACGTGTGTCTGTATACGTGTCTTTACGCGTGTACGTGTACGTGTACGTGTATGTATGCGTGTGTACAACAGGTTATCAGAGAATTCCTCGAGATACATCTACGAACAGAGTTTCGCGGATAGCGGATTTTTGAAAGCAATTTGCCGCCTCCAAGTCTATCGTGATTGCGCAAATACTTTCCGCTATATCCCAGCCTCTGTTCCTCTATGAAACTTTCGTGCGAAAATTTGCCGTTCGGATCGAAAAAGTTCCCTTTAAACGGCCATCGACGACGATATCTCGAGAACGACGCGCCGAGAATCGCTCGAATATCTATAGGTTTGTTCGTAGCCTCGCTTTACACGCAGAATCTCTTTCTTTTTTTTTTTTTTTCTTTTTTTCTTTTTCCCCTTTAAGCGTACATTTAGTAGTTACGAACGAATGGAAAATGGTACACGAATAGAAATCGAAAAATCTGGTCTCTACGTTCTTAGTTCTTACGACGTTTCGCTAAAATTGGTACGAGGTATAAAACTCGATTTCACGCTGCTGCATTTTGAATTCCGCGCTCGAGACTGTTCGTTCAATATCGTGGGAGGATTATGTTTGATTTGTCGTAATAAAAGTGTGAAATTCGGTGAACCTATATACTACACCTAACACTGGTAATTAATGTATGCAATTATCGTTTGATTTTATATGCGCGTCGATTGTTAACTAACCAAACGATAAATTTATTTATTTTCCGTAAAGTTAAATTTGCTATCTTCTCTGCGAAGATATTAACGATAATATGTTTTTATTATCAGTAGTCGATAGCAAGTAATTATAAAAGGAATTAAACACACGAATGCCTGTAATTAGTATTAATTAACAATTAATAAATATATTTACTTAGTACGACACATTAGTAGCGGTATAATAACAGCGTGACAAGTATAGAAACTGTGTCGGGCGAATGGAAATGCAAAGTATATGAAAAAACGTATACAGGGTGGTTGGTAACTGGTGATTCTACGTGAAAAAAGGAGTCGAAAATATAGAACAAAAATTTTTCGTTTCAGGCTTTGTTTTCGAGAAAATCGACTTTGAATTTTCGCTCGGTACGCCTGCACTTTATCACGTCTCGTTATAACGGTTCTCACTTTAGATTTTTAAAAAAATTAAAGAAAAAAGAACAAATTTTTATTCTATATTTTCGACTTCTTTTTTCGCGTAGAATCGCCCCCCTTACGCCTTTTTAAAAAAATTAAAGAAAAAAGAACAAATTTTTATTCTATATTTTCGACTTCTTTTTTCGCGTAGAATCGCCCCCTTTCCGCTTGTACCACCAGTTACCAACCACCCTGTATATAGAGAAAAGAATAGAATTATTTACTCGTATATTTTATAAAAAAAATCATCCAAATGCTTAAAACATAGCACTGCAAACGTAGAAAATTTCTATGGAAATAGATTGCTGATGCCTTGATCACATTTTGTTGTAATAATACCAATAGAATGAAAACGAAAACTTAATAACATTTTATTTGATAAATCTATGAATATTCAGTTACTTGAAATAAAATAAATATATATCCTTTTTCAAATTAATGCATTTTTGTTTATGCATATATAAAAATTTGTCAATACATGTAAACTTATCAAATCAATATGTGCATACATTGACCAGTTAGTGTACATGTCTGCTGAATTGATACATTTGCTATAACAAAGATCTGATGGACCGTAAACATTAGAAAAAGACTCTGGTCTTCTATGTTTCTTCGTGGATAGAAAGCTACGATTGTATTGTAGAAAAAACACTCGAGATACTCGTGGACAATGAGAAGGGAGGAACTGTCGTACGATGCTTGTTAAAAGGTCTCTGCGAACCTTCCTTCCTATCATTTATGTTTCGTTAATTTGCGTTTGTCGTTTGATCGTTCGATTTCGAAGATACAAATTTCAAACTCCTCGTTCGGTTCGATAAAACCTACGCGAAATTTCTCGAAAATGTTTAAAAACTTTTAAAAATTCCTTACGGGGAATAAAAAAGCGCTGTGAAGCATATGGAACGTAACACGAAAATGGTTTTCTTTTGGTTCGTTAACGATCCAGTACGATAGAATATTATCGAAAAACAAAGTAATTTGTTTCATTAAATTATGAAAACGCATTAGATTAATAAATGCTTCACTGAAGTTCATTCGAAAGATTAGAAATACGAAAACGTTTCAATAATTTAAGAAACGTAATTTATCAAATTCAATATTTCATACTCCATGAAATTCTGCGGTCTATGTGGAAGACGAGATAGCAATTTCTATCTGTGAAAAGCAATTGGATCAACGAAGCATCTACATAAACCTTAAGGTGCTAAACAAAATTTGCTATTTCAAATATTTACCTAATATTAGATCAAACTCGAATATTAAACAACGTTGTATCAACAGAATGTTGATCCTTAACAGAAAGAAATTGCGGCTTTAAAGAGTTGAGAATTCGCATCTCCGGCTTTCCAATCAACGTTCGTCGCGATTGATCGAAATACAATAAGTCGTGGAAAAAACACACGGCAAAGTGTTCGATAAAGACAATTAATCCTACGACGAGTGAGTTCTTTTTGCTTGGTTAATTAATTCGCTCTTCTCACTCTCGGATATTACGCTTCAAACGCTTGATCGTTCAAGAAGATACAAGTGTGTCGAAGAATTATAATGCGAACAGTGTTCTATAAAAATTGGCAGTATACAAACAATTCACCACAAAGAGAATGAACGAAGAGTATGAACATCTTGGAACAGGGATCGTTTAAAAAGAACGATACATCGATCTTTCGTCTTTTCTTTTTTTTTCTTTTTTCTTCACGCGGAAATTTTCGTATATCGTTCATCTAACTAGGCGAAACTTCGTACATTAAAAACTATACGACACGTTCTTAAACGACTCGTTAAACTTTTTATATCGTTGGTACTTATGAATTATCCGTTTTGTTTTTCTAATAAAGATACCACGTTGGTTATGTTACTCGAAGAAGCTGCAGTAGATATAAATTTCTACTGATTTTGTGCTTCGATGAATTGTGATGCTTTCGTTCATCTCTTCCTTCAAACAAAATTTCACGTTACACATTTCGCTAATTGCAGTAATTGGTCGTTGAAAGTTTTATCAGTCTATGGCTGTTCAACGTACTTCGTTAACAATCGCAGTAAAATATTCATTTGCTTTTACGATACGATAAGTTTGCTTTTACAACAACGTAAAGTGTCTTCCGCGATTATAAGACGATCATTTCCCAAACGCAAGGTATCTTAGATACAGTGGAACGTTTTACGCTTTGAGTTACCAAAATTACGATACAGTTGAAAAATCTGAAGCTTTGCAAGTTCGCCGATGATCCTCTGATTTTTCACGTCGTTAGTCGCACCAAATATTTTCCACTTTCTTCGTTAGTAGACTGTGGACGATTACGTAGATTCATAAAATTTTTAAGGTAACTGAAATAATATAATTTAAGTACAGCTTCGTTTTATTTATTGAACATTACAACAAATAGTATGTCCAATTTTTCCGGGCAAATTTTGTCCTAGTTTAGATAAGAGATACGAAAATACGGAAGTTTTTATCGTTTCTGTCGATAGATACAAGAGTATCAGCGATAAAAAGGAAATAATTGAATTTATCGTTTTATAAAATTCATTTCAATTGTATTTCATCTCAACTCATTTCATCTTCTCTCATATTCTTC